CAACAGAACAGACGTTTTGATTCAATAATTCAGAGCAAGAGGTGTCAGTTATCAGACACTGTTAAATAAACAAAATATTGCAAGAGTTATAATGTTTTAAGCATGTTTTTATTTTAAGTAAAAAAAAAACCTTTGTGCTTGTGTCCTTTATAAAGTTTATATCTCCGCTACCTGGCATTACATTTTATGACATATATGGCTCGGCCCAACAAGGTCTCATTTATGTCAGATCCGGCCCTCATAACAAATGAGTTCGACACCCCTGGTTTAGTGTGTGCATTATTCTGTGTTTATTGCACTTTCCTCTAATTTGTGTAATACTGTTTTAATTGTATTGTTCTCTAATTACACAATCCAGTTTTTACCACGGTGTTTATTATAATTATTATACTGCTTTCATCGTATTTTAAAATTTGATTTTGTTATCCCCCTTGACTGCGAGAGACGCAGACTACAAAATGAAAACGAAGTCCCCTATTCTTATTAATTCTGGCAAAAAATGTGTAAGTTCCTTGTAAGAAATGTTTACTTTTTGTAAGAACACCATAGAGCATCTCCAGTACTGCTACTGGTTTCAACAGAATCAGGGGAAACAATCAAATAGTATCTGCTGTATACAGCTTTACAGTTTTTAAAAGTATCTAGAGTGGTTTAACAAAGCAAATTAAAATAAATGTCAGTAAGGACCATCTCCCTAAAAACAAGACACAGCAACACTATCAAAGCTGTATAGAAAAAAAAGTTGCTTTGGATACATCTTAAGTAATTTCATACACACAAGTGGAAACCCACAAGGACTTTTGGGGAGCACCTCATTTCCCCTTTCCCTTCCCTGAAAGCCTCCATGGCCTCTCCCCTTTATCATCTTTCTTCTATCCTTCTGTCATGGGTCAGCCAGGGCTCAGTGATAATGAGGACTCCTCCAGAGAAGAGGACTCCTTGGGAGAAGAGGAGCCCTGTACAGTAACCAGCCTTGAGTCAACAGAAGCTGACCAGCAGGAAACTGAGCTGCAGGCTTGTCAGGATTCACAGCATCAAGATTTACAGCCAGCGCCCTGACCTGGATAGCCCAGGCAAGCCCAATCTCAAAAACGAAGCAGAGTCGATTCTGGCAAGAACTTGGATGGGAGACCTCCTTGGAATACCAGCAGTCCGGGGGAGGGGGCAGGCTTTATTAGCCACCTCTCTGAATATCCTCCAGGCCCCCAGTAGGGGTCAGTCACCAGAGGTTGCCATGACTTCCGGGTGCACTGTTACCAGAGGTCGCCATTATTTCCAGGTGCACACACTCACATGCACACACACATGCACATATGAAAAATACAAAAAAAAAATCACAGCCACAAG